TCGAACTCATCACGAGTATCCTTTCAGATGAGGAACTCATGTCAGTATGTATGTATGTATATGTATATATATATATATATATATATATGTATGTATGTATGTATGTATGTATGTATGTATGTATGTATGTATGTATGTATGTATGTATATATATATATATATATATATATATATATATATATATATATATATATGTATATATATATGTGTATATATATGTATATATATGTGTATATATGTGTATATATGTATATATATGTGTATATATGTATATATATGTATATATATGTATATATATATGTGTGTGTGTGTGTGTGTGTGTGTGTGTGTGTGTGTGTGTGTGTGTGTGTGTGTGTGTGTGTGTGTGTGTGTGTGTGTGTGTGTGTGTGTGTGTGTATATATATATAATATATATATATATATAGTGTATATATATGTATATATATATATGTGTGTGTATGTATACACACACACACACACACACACACACACACACACACACACACACACACACACACACACACACACACACACACACACACACATATATATATGCATACACATACAAACACACACATACATATTTGTGGGTGTGGGTATGTATTTGTAATAAAAAGTTATAAAACAATAGCATTTTTATCAAAGGAACCACTTTGGATATATAATAATATTACCTATTTCCTGTTATTATTGTTATTATTATTTTTTTTTTTTGACAGAGTTGCTCCATTTAATAAGCAAAATGACTGACCCAGAGACAGGGAAATTTTACTGCTTGGAAAATTATGGTTGTGAAAAAGGAATGTACACCCCATCTAGGTGTCGTGAAAGTGGACAGGACTGTGCCATCCTCTTTGCTTCATATGCAGGTATGACCCATTTGAGAGTATAACATTTCATGAGTATGATTTTTTTTAGCCCAGTAGCAGCAACATGAGAACATGTAGTTATGCTATACCTTATATGTTGGGAAAAGTTGTAGGGGAAAATGCTCATGTAAAATGGCTTACAGACCTTTGTTACACCCAGTCAAATTTTGGCTCATGGTTGGACAAGTCAGATCTAATTGTGCCGTTAATTGAGGGATAAGATTTTCTAAGTATTTAAATGTTGAGTTGTGTTACATTTAGCCTTGCACTTCTCATGTTCAAAATAAGGTTTGGAATTGGAGTTCTAGTCTAGCTGTTGTTGTTATCATTACTTAAGTCCTTGACTTATGAATTAATGTAAATGGAAAAAAAAACAAAAAAAAAACAGAATTTCATAAAATTGGTGTTTTTTTAATGAGTTGCCCAGACTTTCAGCCTTTTCATCCACATGAGAAAACATATGCAGTACTGATATAAGTTATATTTCCATCTCTTGCAGATTTCAACATCACCAAGTTTCTCCGTGATCAAATTGAGACTATGAAAGCCTATGTAAGAGTAGCCTGGATTGGGCCTAATCTCAACCACGAATTCATCGGTAACAACACCTACTACCCTGGTCCCCATGGTCCACGTTCTGTTCTCATATTCCACTGGTGGCCGTCTGTTCTTCTGGAGCCATTTGACTTCAAGTCTGTTGCCTTTTCACCATGTATCGACAGTTCTGTGGTGAGCTATGCTTATGGTTGTATTACATAATTAGATTACACTATTCCCCATGTAAATTGGTTCTTGACTAGCTTCCAGTATAGAGAATATAGAAAAAAAAATGCAGTGTCGAATATGGGTATCAAATTTTGGGTATATTTTAAAATTTTCAACCAACTTCTCTTGTACACTGCCAGTTATTATATGATTTTCTTTTGTGTTCCAGAGAATTGATGGAAAAAGCCCATATCAATGCAAATATGAGATGCATCGCTTCCATAAGTTCGTGTGGAAGAAGCTCAAAAGATATGCAAAATATGCTTATGATGTGAGTTTTATTTTTATTCCTCCTTATTATCTCTTTGTATCTATTGATATTATTAAATATATGATATATGAAAAATTATAGTAAACAGGTTCTACATTTTATCCTTTTTGTATATATTTCATTTATCACATGGTGTTACTTTAATAAAAAAAAAAAAATTGTTTTGCTCCAGGCTCTTCACAAGATAAAGATCAACCACACTGAATTAATAGACCTCATGCACACCTATAATGAAAAGCAACCAAAGACCAATTCAACACTAGATGAGGTTGCCTGTCAGTGGATGAAAGAGAACAAGGTATTTTCTTTTTTTTCTTTTTGTTCTTTTTGCTCCTCTCTATCTCCTTTCCTTTTCCTTTTTGATTTTCTAAGAGATACATGCCAGTCTTTTCAAACTTTTTTTTTATAGTTTTTGGGAATTGTATTTTCCTTATCCTTTGTAAGCGGATATTTTCACAAGAAGTATTACTAAATTTTTGTTATATATATTTAAGCAGATGTATCTTACATGTAAGCAATTGGATCATTATGGCAAGTTAAAAAAATAATACAAAAGGAATATAATTTTTAAATCTGTACTAATTTTTATTTATAA